TATGGGGGCAGTTCATTCCGATTTCTTAGTTTTTATTTTTTCATGAACATTTTGTAGTTTCTCACGTGCGACATATGAGTTTTTACAGGATCTAAGAGTAAAATTCTTCAAAAAAAATTAGGACCTTTGAGTTACACGAGACCTCCGATGGCGCAAAAAAGATACTCCAGTGTTTGTGATTCCGGTCTTCTACATCGATGAAACCTAAAAAACTATTCTGTACTGTAAGATATTGTTCGTAAACTGACCCACGGTCAAAAAAATCGAAAACTGACAAACAGTTGCGATTTTATTAAAACATATTGCTCACACAAAAATATGCAGAAAAATAGTGATAGTGATCGAAACTTTTGATCTTCGAGCAATCTTCTTTTTTACCCGCGTAGACACCGTTTACACGATTTTGACCGAGTTAACAACAGCGCGCCAGTCGTGTCTTATTTTCGCTATTTGGCGCCAATTCGAGATACCAAGTAAAGCCTGATCTCTCCAACGGAGCGGTGGTATCCCTCTTCCTTGGCTTCCACAGGCGAGTACTATAACGAAAATCTTGAAAGTTGGAGTGTTCTCTTCCTCTTCCGAACGGCAATATCATAGGCGTACGCCGATCTTCTTATAGAAGATTATACCTTCGCTATTCAGCTCTGCAGCTCGTATTATTTTCCCCAGCAACAGATTGAAAAAGTCATATGATAGGGAGTCTGAAACTCACTATAGAACGGCTCGGAGTGGTCTTGCTCGATCCTGACGAAGCTTTTGGTGTTGCTCAACGTCAGCTTGCAATTAGTTTCGCTGGGATATCAAGTTCAGACATAGCGTGACGTCGTGACTTTAAGATCGACGAAGAGGTGGTGTGTGTCGATCTTCCTTTCACAAGTCCTTCTGCTCGAGCAATAATTTAAAAAAATATTTAAATTGTATTTTCGAGAAATGCGAGTGTAATGAGAAATGCGAGACTATGAAATTCATAGAACTGAGAGGTTATATAGTACTTTAGATACCTGAAACTTAAAGAAAAAATTAAGATATCGATTTAAAATATTGATTTATTATTTTTAAAAGCATAGACTATCAAAATGTAATCATTGAATGGATTTCATTTTAATTTCGCACTTTGTGTGCGTTAAAATTTGTTTCCTGCTATCCCTCTATATCCTTTGAGAATAATTTTAAAAATATAAAATCTTTAAATTAAAGCTGACTTTAATGTACTTGAGTAATATTTAGACAAATCGTGTGCAAATCACTTTTATTTGCTACGCATTCATGGCCTTGGGTCCATAACCAGGTAAGGGCCATAATAATTTTTAGGAAGGGCCACACATTCGTGTGCAATTATGCGTTTATATATGATTGTTATTGCCATTGATATTGATATACTGCGGCCACCTTATGCGTTCACATATACAAACATATGTAATATAATAACATCCGCGATGTTCGCTTTTAGTACAGGCATTAAAATTTGTTATAACCAACGCCAGATGCGAATTTATTTCATTCGAATCGTATTGAAAATACAATAACAATGAATAATAAGGCAGCGTTAAAGTTAAAGCATGCGAAGGAGTAAGGCACATTTACATGAGCTGCAGGCACATATAACCTGCATATACATACATATATACATACATGTATGCTTCTTGTGACGTTTGAAGGTGGTTTGGCGTCTGGCGTCTTGCTATTTATGACTTCCGTCTAATGGAGTGCGACCGTTCGCGATGTCAGCGGCTGCCGCTTGGCTGGTTGATTGTACACTTTGATTTTTATTTATGCGTTGGTTATTTTTTTTATGACTCCTGCGCCCCAAGCGGAAATGGCAATGGCAACTTGTTGACCCAATATCACTGACCTTCCAATGACATTCCGATATGGTAGCCATTTATGGCAATCATTTTAGCGCATGCTTTATTTAACGGCTTTAGATTTGTTTTTTATTGCAGGCGCACAAACAACAACACATACACAAGGCATACAATTCTGGTAGCATAATTCAATTCGACTTACGAAGTTAGAGGATTGCGAGAAAATAGCATTAGGGTGGTTTCATTTCATTCCTACAAAAGCTAGGTTGTTATTGTAGCGGTAAAAATCATTGCTCAAATAATTTTCAGAAAGGCTGCCAAATTGCTAGTACTTTAATAGGAAAAAATCAGTGTCTGCTCTGGTTACTTAGAGTGGACTGTCGTAGGAACGGCTTAGACAAGTTATAGTGTAAGTTGTTGTCTCTATATTCTGAAAATTCTAAAAAAAAGCTCATTTTAGAGCTTTTATGCATTGGCAAGTCCAAAAAATGCGTGTTTTTTTTTTTGTTTTTGTATATTTTTCGAAGAGGCATTTTATTTAGTATCGGGTGTTCCAAGTAGAGGTGCTTTTTTCAATAAACTTTTTTGAACAACTTTTTTTGAATGCCTTGGCACATTTTCCTCGAGATCTTAAATAGAAAGCTTACAAAATACAGCTTGTGCAAGAGCTGAAGCCGCTGGACCTTCCTAAGCGACATCGCTTTTCTCTATTGGCTCTTTAAAAGTTCCAAGAAGATCCGACGTTTTCGAGCTAAATTTAATTCAGCAATGAGACCCTTATCTGCTTGAATGGGTATGTAACAAGCAAAATCGAAAATTCGACTCAACGGATAGACCACCTGAGACGTAGACGCGGCCAACATTTGAAAGAGATAACCTTCAAAAAAAAATTTTAAGAATTTTCTTTAATGACAAAATAATTTATTTTCGAATAAATTTAAAGTTTCAGTATTTTTTCTTTAAAAAAAATTAGAGAACCTCAAATTGGATCACCCAGTATAAATATATAAAAATTAATGTACATTTACAGAATTTACTGTATTTATCGGGGATTCGTTTTGAAATGTTTCGGATCCTTTGATACCATAGCCAATCTTTAAGAGAGTCTCGGCCGTGAGGTTCTGAAGGCGATGAAGATTTGTCTGTTTAAAATTATTTTCAATACATAAAGCAAACAAATTTATTATTACTATAGATCAATACAGGTAAAAATCGAAAAACCAGTCAAAATTTTAATATTTGACAAAATGGCGGCTTTTTCATTTTGTGAAAAAATTTACACTTCAGTATGAAATTCGAAATTATTATCATAAATCACATTATTTCGATTATTATCTGACAAATATATCTGAGAAAGTCCAGTTTCGGAGAAAGTTTCCTAACCAACACTAAAACCAGCGTTTAGGGGCCAAATACACTAACTTAAAATATTCTAAAATTGCCAGTAAACTTCAAATTTACGATAATATTCTCAATTATAAACGTCATAGATATGTGTATGCAAAACAAAAAATCGATTTGTTCAACTTCACAAGCGGATATAATCTCTTTAGCTTACAATCTCAGCTGAAAAGGATTTTTTAAATCTAAATTTCTCAAATGGCAAATATTAAAATAAAAACTGATATTTTCTTATTATATAATAATTAATTACATTTTTCTTTCTATACTATTTTAGTTGTTGTTTTTTTAATTATTAGCCAATTCCAAATAAGAGCTCAAACTCAGCAGTAAAGAATTTTTTAAGCCAAATTTAGAGCAAAGTTCTTCAATTCCAAAATTAAATTTTGAATTGCTCTAAATTTTTGAAAATTTTAAACATTTTAAATTAAAAAAAAAAAACAAATTATCTGCCCTAATGTACCTAATGTATACCCGCACAATACATACAATTAACCGCTGGGAATGAAACACATTTCCTGTTTCAGGCAAGCAGGAAACCTTTTTGCCTTAGAAAACGTAATGGAAATTTAACTATCGATAAGTTTCCTGTTTACCTTATTTGTGATTTTCGATATTAAAAAAAAAAATCTACCATTTTTTGTGCCTTAAGTATATTAAATTATGTATGCATGTACTGAAACATATGCTATACATCAAATTTGTATCAAATATTTACGCTGAATTATCGTATGTATGCAATTCCTAGGTGGGTACTTCCAACATATATTTTCCTTCACATACTTACATGGTTGTATGTACATACTCCTCTGCACATAAATATTTTTTAATGGATATACAATCGTTTAATTTTAATTATTGAATTCGATATTAAAGGATACGAGTATGTAATGAAATCACGCAATTCAATTTCCTTTGTTGTTATGTCAATAAAACTGCTTTGATAGCCACGCGCGGGATATACTGGTCGAAGGAGTTGTAGTTACAAATTTACGGTTTTAATCGGCATTCATGGGAAAACTTAAGGTAAGAGTACGTCAGTTTAACCAGCAGAAGAGGAAATAAATTGAAAAAAATTCTTTTAAAAAAATTTGGTTCATCCTAACCTTGTATTCCAGTGCAGAAACGCTTTAAAAATGGTAAAAAAAATTAAAATAAGAAAAAACAGAATTAAAATTAAAAATTGAAATGGGTTAGATCTCCGAAAACACAGCCCTTTCCGGGATAAAATATGGGTCAGTTCCGGTGCCGTAGGACCGGCTGTTGTGCAAATAGTTTCATGTTCTATCTTATTAAAATTTTTAAATTTTACTAAATACTATTATTTAGAATACTAACCACTACTAACCACTTGCACTTTCCTCTATGTAGTAGTCGGAAAGAACGCATTTCCCAAATAATTTGGAGGTACGCTATCGAATTATAGATATAAATCTCATTTCATAATGGCCATGTAGACCCAACTGCCAAAGGAAGCTGGAGCGTCCTCTAACTTGCACAGTTTACACTTCTGAAATTGAATACCAGTTCTATTACTACCGTACTTTAAACAACTAATCATTTAACACGTTTTGGAATTTGTCTATTATTTTCTAGCTAAGTTCACTCACATCCTTATTTATGGTGTTTTGTATCTATTTGTAACTTTTTAGGTAATGCACACACTAACTCTAGCACTGCAGCCTTAAACTCCCAAGACTTGGTGTAAATTCACTTATTTTACTGCGGCGTGCAGTTCGGCACATTTTGCAACAAACACATTAAAACAAAGCGTTCAATTACAAAATTAGCACTTTAAATATTATTGAACCGATATACATATACTTGTGATTATAAACTACATTGGAAATGTATTTATTTTATCTCGTGCTCACTACAGCCTCTTTGCGAGCGGCGTCCTGTAACAGCTGTGTGTCTACCTCGTCACCTGGCAGTTGTACGTACCGCACAACGGAGCCGCGTATGAAGCAATTTTTCACAGATAACATGTGCGGGTATTTATCCGGATCCGTCACATTAATATCGGTCAATTTGATATTCAAATATTGGTCCACCGAATGCAATGTGCCGCATATGCTAGATAGAGAATATAATTAACAAATTGCCGGCAAAATGTGTGCAGCAAATATGTGCATACCTCAAGTCATTTTTAAGCTCGACCACAACGTCCTTGCCCACAAGGGATTTGAAGAAAGAGTAGAAAAGCTAATTGGGAATAGAATATAATGCATATTAATTTATTTAAATATTAATGTTACATTTATTATGTCAAGAAATATTTACCATTTCACAAATTTATTTAGACGCTTCCGATTAATTTTGACAACTTCAATGTAACAGCTGATTGCGTGGCCACATGGAAAATCTATGCTTCTAATTGGGATTTGTCGATCTGGCCATATGGAGAAATAATAATTTTCGTACAACAGCTGATTTAGGTTTTTAGGGAAGTTCTACACCTCAGCGTTGTATTTCAGCGACATCTGCATGTGAATGCTTTTGTTTGTAGATTGACTGAATTTAAAATGCGGATAATGTTAATAAAGAGAGAAGGCGGAAGGAACAGAGAATGTTAATGTTAATGAGTAGCACAAATGTTAGCTGTACTAAAATATTGTTAATATGAGGGATGCATGCGCTTTTTCGATGTTCTCTCATATGAAAACTACGAATTAGTACTCAAAAAGATTCAATTTAACATTTTCGCCGTCTCTATTTATTAACATTATCTGATACAAGTTACAAGTTCTCTGTTCAAAGTTCATTAGTTGGAAGAAAAGTTTAGCTCGTTGCAAAGCTTATAATGAAATATTACTTATACAGGGTCTCACAATAGCCGTATTTGGTGTAATACTTGAGTAATGTAATTATTTTAAAATTTTCTTTAAATATTCTGACTTGATCCTAATATACCCATAATCCGACGCGGAATAAGTTTCGCATGACCCTGACAGCCGAGTATACACTGCCCTAAGTCGAGATCTAATGATCTGAAGAATATAATAAAAGTTATACGCATCGACTACTACTAAGACTTACCGATCTAAACGTGGTTAGATCTCCGAAATAAAATCCGGCTCAAATCCGGTAAAGTAAAATCGACTGTTGTGGTTAGGTTAGGTTAGGAGTTTACTCCTACTTATCCAATGTATGTTCAGCATGCAATGAGTCCCGGCATGACACTGGCCACCTCCTTGCATGGCCTACTAACCATACTCTCTTTGCTCCGATCCCGTCGAAAAAGCACGTTTCCTGGTCCTACCATTGGATAACGTCGCTGACAACTTATCTAATCCTTAGACAGCTCTTTCTTTTGCAATTTGATTAATCTAGAGATGAGTTAAACCAAGTTAGGTTAACTTTCTCTAAGTCAGATAAAAAAAAGCAATTGATTTAGTACTGAACGAGGCAGGGAATAAATACAAGCATTCATCAGATAAATAGTATGTGAACTCCCTCACTCTACGCAGTCTCAACCACTTCCCAAAAAACTGATATCGAGACCGTTTTCTATGAATGGCTAAGGTACCATAATAGGCATCTAGTGAGACGAGCGGACTCTTGGGTTGTTCAACGTATTGATTCTGTAAAATACTAAAGGTGATAAAAAGACATGGAGTTTTGGCTCATATTTTGAACCGACAAGTGAGAGGAAAGTAAGTCCACATACGTATAGCCCCGCTCCGCAAGTAAGGTTATCGTATTACAGAGCCCACAGATACCCATAAGCTGCGTTCCCTAAGATATCTAAGGCCTTAAGTATCGTTAACATTTTTTTGGGAAGTTAGGAAGCATAGGTTATATCTTGTTGACTTCAGTATATTATGTTTTCAAGTGTTTGAGTTCTCTAAATTTTTGGTGGCTTCTTTTCAGCGTTTGTAGAACAAGCCAGCATTGAAGACCCTAGACTAGCATATGTACTCATATTTTACTATATAATCGTACTATATATAGTACTGAGATTTCTCCAGTGACAGGCTTTTGGATAACTAATGAAACTCGAAGAATCGTAGCTCTTTATTCTGGTGTGTACAGTAAAGATAACTCCCTATTGGGGATGGCGCTAGCTACTTACATATATATATATACTTATATAAGAGTATGAAGGCGAATTACACATTTATGGTTTTCTAAATAATAATATTTCATTGATTTAGAGTTACCCTTAGCAGCAAAACGGAATATGGTACCTCTACACTCCACCTTTTACTTAGGGACTAAGTGGTTCCCACATGAAACTATCCATGCTCATCGGCTTTTTCTCGAGTTCACCAAGGACCCCAGCAAGTTTGTAGCTATCACTGCTGCTTCTGCTCCCACTGCTGATGCTGACGCTGTTGCCGCAAACAAGGAAGAAGCCAAAAAGGAGGAGTTGAAGTCCGAGGAAAAACAAGATATGGGTTTCGACCTCTTCGACTAAACAGCTAAACACAAAAGTTGGTTCAGGAGTACCAAAAGGAATGGTCAAACCAACTATCAGTTTGTACCAAAAAAACACCGGGAAAGAACTGTCCGAGCAGATTTGGATCAGAATCCCTAGTTACGGTAGAAACCATACCAAAAAGAGGCTGTTCTGAAAGCAAAAGAGAGCAGATTGATGCAGCCCTGGAAGGTTATATAGTATGATTCGAACAATGTATAACCTCTTCGGGACAAATTCCACCAACTTGTGACAATATACATACACTGGTCAATGTAGACTGAAGAAGAACGCATTCAAATTATCCCTTCTATGACATTGAGCCGGAACCTACGGTACGCCTATTTCTAGTCGTTCTTCCTTTTCGCTGTTTGACGCCAATTGGAGATTCCAAGTATAGCTAAGACCTTCCCTTCCTGGTCTTTCCAACGGAGTGTATGTTTCTACCATGCGGTATTGTGTCGAATACCCTCAGAGCTGGATTGATTTCATCCTTTTGGACGACATGACTTAAACGGCGTAGCTGCTGTCTCTTAAGCTTGAAGCGGGCTCTGCAACTCGAATTATTTTCTCCAGCAGCATATTGAAAATATTGGTATTCGCCTATTGCTGATATAGAAAATTTTAAAGCAGCGCTTGAAAATCATCTATGGCATCAAGATGATAGAAAATATCAACGTTTCTTATTAATCGACTAAACATATTTTGTTTAAAGTTTTGACGCGTATCAATGCCATACCAAAAGTCCCAGTCCGGGTCAAATTTGATCAGATAGTATATAATTTTGATGGTTCTCTTGCAGTTCAGCGATCACTCTGGCACCCTCTAGACCTTCTTACGACAATCATAATTTATATTCGCGCGCTTCGAAAAGCAGATCTAGTTATACTGCTTTGTAATAACTTTTTAAATTTATTTTATTTTAATTTATTATTATATTTTTTGTTTTATTTATTTAAAACTAACAATAATAAGATCTGTTTTAGATAAAATTTAAATTTTAAATCACAAATGTTGTTACTACAGGTGTATGCAACATGCCAGAATCTGCCTAATTATTTTGGTTTGTTGGGTATTAACTTAAACATACCGTTGTATGTATGTATGTGTGTATGTATGTATATAGTACATATAAATAATTAATTGCCGCATAGTTTTTCATTAAGTTTTTGTTATTGTTTTTGTGTTGTTGGTTTTTTTTTTTGCCCCTGGGACGTACAACAAAGTCCGCTCAACTCACATATACATATGCATGTACATGGTGCCTGCTGCGCCCACAACAAGTCCCCACCCAACTTGACATGTAGCTTAATACTAATAAATTCGTATCCTCTATTCCATAACGGTCAATTTGGTTTATTGCTCTACATTAAAGTAAGAATTCTGCATCAAGTACAGCTTGTCAATCGGATTGACGAGACTCGTGCTGAGATTGGCGATGATGTCGTGTGGATTGGAATGTTGATTACCCGAGGAGCCGGTGGACTGCAGCTCCAGATTGTTGAGTGACAACGAATCAGTGTCATCGTCCAGTTGATCGAAATTGCTGCCATCCAAGGACAAATCGGAGCTACAAAAACTATCATTGGAATTATGCGGGTAATCTGCAGGCATAGAAAAAAAAAACACAATGAAAATAAATATTGGGCATGATTACAAATGGAAAATTTCACACAACACACCATCGGGCGAGAAGGGCAGATTCGGATTTAGCGGTTGACTGCCGAAACCGCTGTCGCCTAAGCTCAAATAAGCGCCATCGACACCAGCTATGCCACATTCCTGCTTTATATCCTTGTCGTCCTTACCCATATCCTTCTCATCGCCGCTGCGCGAGCTCACCGCACCGCCATTGCCACCGCCATTTTTCGCCTTACGTTGTATTTTCTTCATTTTGGCGCGTTGATTCTGAAACCACACCTGCACTACGCGCACCGACAGTCCGGTGTCCTTTGCGAGCGCCTCGCGCACCTTGCGGCACGGCTTGGGCGATTGATCGAAGGACGCTTTGAATTGTTTCCGCTGCTGTGATGTCAATATGGTGCGTGGTCGCTTTGGGCCGCGTCGTCCATCACGCGGACGCATCAAATCATCATCATCCAGTCCGACGAAACCGCAATGCTGTGCTGTCGCCAAGTAGAGCTCTTTCTCGAGATCGTGTCGACAGCAGAAGAGCTGGCCGTCACGCAGCAGGAATTGCTCACCTTTCTGCAGTGGCAGTCGGCAGATGTAGCAGATGAAACAAGGCAGGTGGTAAATAAAAGCGGGTATCGGTCGCATGACCATCTCATGTGGCAGAATCGGATGACAACAGAAGGTGCATTTGATGCTGAATAATCTAAAAAACAAAAAAAAAACAATTTTGTTTATTTTTTGATTAATTTCGTCCATTTTTGGTTTCTGTTTTGGCGTTTCTCAGAATTTTACCTACCGTTCGTAATCGTGTTTACAATAAAGCTTTGAATTGCGCACGTAGCAGGTATTGAACAACTGTATTCCACAATAACAACAAGATAGACAGTGTTCGTGCCAGTTCGATTCGCCGACATTCATGAGATAACGATCGTGTATCTTTTGTCCGCAACCTTCGCATATTTCGTAATTCTTCTCGCACTTCACCTGTCCAACTTCTGCAAATAAAGAAGACATATATGGTTGTTATTTTGTGTTTATATTGAAAAGCTACAAGAAAGTAAGAAAATATTTGAGGTTAGTTCATGGATTAAAGCAACTATAGCAACAACACCCGCCCAAAACTAGTGTGAAACTTACTGCCTCCGAACTTTTTACTTTTTTCCTAAAGCAGCGTTTGTGTCTGGTGTCTTCCAACAGTACTGCATACAAAGACAAGTTTTATTACTATTTCACTGTCTAAGTCCCCCCCCCTTTCAAAGGAACAGAGACAAAAGATACAACAAAACAGCTTTGTCTAAATTAAACAGCAACTTCTATATTATTTCCAGATTTTTGGTCATCAAGTAATCTAACAAATCTGGGCCGTTCTTCTAAATCTTCCGCAAAACCTTTCCCTCGAACACTCCTATGGCTAACTCATCAGATGATGTCATTGTCCATACCTCCGAACCAATGATGAAGTACATGTACGTACGTGTAGAGTTTGGTCTTTGTTCGTCGATAGCATCCAATACTGATTGTATATCCTATATACGAACTTGACTACCGTAAATTAGATTTTGGTAAACAAAGTAACCTTTAATCCTTTCTATCTCTGAATAAGCGATAAAGCGATATCAAATAGATAATATAATTATATAGACATATGTATATATTTGAGTATATTTATTTGCTAACTCATTTATTGATTGAGATAATACTATTGAATTTCACAAATTGTTTATGCAGCACCCTAAACGAATACGAAGAATTTTATCAATGGAAAATGCATAAAAAGAGCATATAAACAAATAGAATAAATATATAAATATATACTATATACTATATATGACATACATATTTATACAAAATTAGAATGCATATTGCACTTGATTATCTATAAATACATAAGTTCTGGACGGCGCAGGTTTGTAGCTAAAGTGGCTAAATTGCATGTGCCTATATAAACGGTGATCCATTTCGAGGTTTCCATTTTTAAAGAAAAAAAAAAAACACGTAGAAACTTCAAATTTAATAGAGAATGTTTATTATGATTCGAGAGAATAGTCTTTAACATTTTTTATTTTTTTTTTTGTTTTTTTTTTTTTTTTTTTTTTTTTTTTTTTTTTTTTTTTTTTTTTTTCTTTCTAATGGGTGATCATTTTGCGAAGTATTTTTCTCAT